GTTATTCCCAAACTACATTTGTTCCAAAATCGAGTCTAAAAAGTTCCAGTTGAATGGGTCAAAAGCTTTTTCGAAGTCTACTTTGAATATCATCACTTTGTTTTTAGTCTTTTGGCTCATGTGACCAGCTGATTAACTATCAAGGGACCATTGAGAATGTTTCTACCTTCCACGTAAGCATATTGCTCGGGGCTAATGATTTTATTCATAACACCTTTGAGCCTAATTGCAAGAAGCTTCGTAATAACTTTGTACAAGCTAACCAATTAAATTCACCGGTCTATAATCCCTAAGGGCCATCGGATCTGTCACTTTTGGGACAAGAGAAATGAATGAAGAATTGCATCTCTCACTAAAAACCCCACTCTCATCAAAATGTTGAACAAACTCAAAAAGTCATTTTACACCAAATTCCTGTAATTTTTAACAAATTTAAAAGTTTAATCATTTAGACCCGAGTACTTGTCGTTGGCACAAGACCAAACCACACTTTTCAACTCCTTCATATAGAACTCTCTTCTCAAGAAAATCCCTGTCCACAACAGATATTTGTTTAAAGCAAGCACTGTGTAAGTATAGATCTGACAATGAAGCGGGTTTGGAGCGGATCGACCTTGATCCAAACCCATTAAGCAATTTTTAAATGCTGATCCAAACCCGACCCGTAACCTGCAAAGTTTTGAATAATTAAACCTATACCCTTATCCATCGAATCAACAAAATTTTAACCCTTTTACCCAACCCATTTACAATATTAAGAGTAGACTATAATTATGCATTACAACACATATAATTTTAGAATTATAGAAAATAAACTTGATTATGGAATGTCGATTGTGTAAAACCCTTCTACGAAACGAGATATATAGAAGCATTTTGTTCTTGTTATTGGTTATCGATTGTGAATGTAATACTAATTTCACATATTTATTTGTATTGGGAGATTAATGTAATTTACTTATAAATAATAAATGTATAACTTGTAAATAACAAATTTATATTTTAAAATTTTAGAAGGGGGTGAGTCATTAACAGATCAGATCGATAGTGATCCATACCCGACCCTTTTAATAAAAGGGTTAACGGGTACGATTCGTTAACGGGTAAACGAATAATAAAATATAATCCAAAGCCATTAACTTTGTACGGGTTTGGAGTGAATCATGGTCAAAATCCGCTCCCCTGTCAAGTCTATGTAAGTATTGTCTATCGGTTAAATTTTTGGAAACAACGAATAACTTATATAAAACCATAAACGAACATTAGCAAAATGCTAAGCCATAAGGTACAGAGTACAAAAAAAAAAAAAAAACAAAATAGGAAATAAAAGCTAAGGTGCAAAAATGTGTAAAAATTACGTAAGAAAACAACTCCATTCTGTCCGGCTTATAGAGCTCATATCCGTGTATTTAATGGATTGTTCACTCTAGGTAATCTTTCTTTTTGAACTTAACTGGTTTCATTTAATTTGGTGCAATCAAAATAAAGTGCAGTTTAAATTAATCATATTTTGTAATTTAATTTGAATCGATTGGTTGGGGGACCCTCTAATGAATGAAAGTCCTGATTCCCATCATAGGTATTGTTTGCTTCGTGACAAAGATTAAATTGAAGTTTCACAGCTTCTTCTTTTCTATCAACTTTAATCATATTTAATGCTCCTGTTTTATAATTTATACCTTACAAATTATATACTATTATGAAAGTAAACTACAATATTTAATGCTCCTGTTTTATACCCTCACTTTTGCTTTTCATTAACTATTATTGCTATGCTAATCTTTTTATCATGGTTGCAGAAATCGGGATTAATCGGCGATTAATCGTGGATTAATCGCTTGGCGTTCTCCAACCGTCGAGGATTAAGGCATTAATCGGAAATTTAGGATTAATCGGGTTTGGCGGGATTAATCGGCCTTGGAGGGATTAATCGGTCAACAAAAGTCAACAAAAGTCAAAAAAGTCAAAAAAAAAAATCAAAAAAAGGTAAAAAAAAATTAAAAAATTTCAAAAAACAAACTTTTTTTTTACTCCAAAATTTTCAAATTTTCAAATTTTCAAATATTATACAAAAATGTTCATATTTTCGTATTTCCAAATTTCCAAATTACAATTTTTCTTATTTTCTAATTTTGAAGTACTTGTTTTTCTTAAGATATATTAATATTTAATTAATTTTAATATTTTATTAATAATCTATGGTCCCCGATTAATCCCTGCCAAGACCGATTAATCCCTTAACACCAGTCGACCGTCGAGCTACCGTCGAGCGATTTTTACAACCTTGCTTTTTATTATTGAACACCCCCTAAAGACGTGAAGTATCGGCTCCCATGTCTCCCCACTAGGGGTGACAAATCGGGCCATCATGTCGTGTTTTTGTCTAACACGAAACGGCACGACAAGATTTTATGTAACACGAACATGACACAATACGCTGCCGTGTTTTTCAACAAACACAAAAACGAACTAATTAAAAAACGACAAACACGACACGACACGACAAAAATAACATAATGTAACAATTATTTTATTTAATTAATAGTTAATTATACATAACACGACAAACATGACAACAAATGTTAAACCGTGTCAATTTCGTGTCGAATTTTGAACACGAACATGACACAACACAACATCGTGTTTTTACACTTGACACGAACACGAATTCAAATTTCAGTTTCGTCCAAATTTCATTTCGTGTGTCGTATATTTTTGTCGTGTCGTGTCATCAACTGCCACCCCTACTCCCCACCACCATTGGCATCTTTAGTTCCTTTCACCACTTCCTCATACAACTTCATGCTATATAACTAGAGCTGACAATAGGTCGACCTGTGTTGAGTTCGGGTTCAACTCATTTATTAACTTGGTTGAAAATATCAACTCAACCCAACCTCTTTATTTAAATGGGTTGATATTTCCAACCCAACCCAGCATTTCAGATAAATGAGTTGTCATCGAGTTGACCGTTTATATAGTTCCTAACCCAACCTATTAAATAAATTACTTAAACTTGGGTTGACCCATTTAAAATAAAAATAAATAAATAAATTAACTAAAGATTACACCTCTTAAATTAGTTATAGACTTAAATAAAATTTCAAAGTATGACAAAAGCACAATCTCAATTCACATATACAAAGAAATTGTTCAAATAACATTAAAGATATATAATTTCTAAGTAATTTTTTTAAGTGACTAGTGTTGTCGGTGCCAAGAAAAAAAGTAGAAATTAGGATTCTATTTTTTTTAAACATAAATAATAATACAAACATTGTAATTTATAAACTAATACTTAGATTAATACATGATAATATTTAAATAATTATTAAATTAAATATAAATTAAAGTTAAATGGGTTGGTGAGTTGAAAACGGGTTGATAAATTTTACCCGGTCCAACCTATTTAATTAAATGGGTTAGACGGGTTGATCCATTTAACTTAAATGGGTTGAAAATCTCAACCCTACCTGCTACTTTTGGGTTGGGTTCGGGTTGAGTTGGTGAGTTGGATCGATTTTTGCCAGCTCTATGTATAACTAAGAGATTATCTCATAGACTTTGATCGAATCTGTTTTAATTGAGTAAGGTCTGATTGAGTGTGACTAAGTTACTTATCGGTTAGAGACATATATCAATGACTATAAGACCGAATCCAAGATAATATAATATTTCTCTCACGCCTGAGTTCTATTACAAGTTATCGAACCTATGAATTTAGAAAAAAATACAGAAATATACGAAAAATTGGAATGAATAAATAATCAAAAATAATGTTTACCTATATCTCAATTTGTCAAATTCAAAACACATATCTTTTTCCCAGAAAAATTGAAATAATGAATAATATTATTCAGATTTTGAGACGAAAGAACTATTTTTCTATCATTATATAAAAATCTCTAATATTTCAAAAAAATTAAACTTATAATTATGATATTGACCAGATCAGATACAACTTTTTATCAAACCCAATAAAAAAAATATCAAACAACATCTACAAAATTTAATAACTCAATATTTGCCACAGCTTCGGACATTGCATTTGCTCGTATAAATATTAATTACAATACTTGATCTCCATTCGTAAGGCCACCGACTAAAGATAAGGCTAATAGGGTTTGTCAACCACATACCCTCTTCCCATAGACACATGCCACAACCTAAGAAGAAAGGGAGTCTCGCCCATAAGCATAAGAAGGAAAAACTAGAAGAATAAACAAGAGAGAACGCGCATACAAAGAGGATTCTTAAACATAAATGACATAATGAAACATAGTCCCACGTTATACGATAAAAACTCTCATTTTGATTACCAGCTTGATTACATAAATGACATAATGAAACATAGTTCCACGTTATACGATAAAAACTCTCATTTTGATTACTAGCTTGATTACCCATTATAGGTTATCAGTTTTTAAAAAATAATGGGCGATATAAGATTAATTTTAAAAAATAATAAAAACATGTTAACGATAATAGGCATAATAGGAAAAACAAGGAAAGCAAGGCGATCCAAAAAAAGAAAAAAGAAAAAAAAAAGAAAAAGAGGAAAGTTGTTCACTCACTTGGACTTTGAGCAAAGGTAAAATAGAATGATAGAATAACATTTTCATTAATATTATAAATATATTATTTTAATTTAATAATCGAGGAATTATGTTTATATTTATGAGATAAATAATAATAATAATAATAATAATAATAAGAAGAACAACAACAACAACAACAAATATAAATATTATAAGAAGCTTTGATGTTAACTAGATGAAATTAGATGCGCCGTTGGCGCTGTGTACCTTGTTTTCTTTCGTTATTTGAAACTGTAGTAGATAAGCGACCATATTATAGTATTTATGAAGGGATATTACACATATGGAACGGTTGTTGATATCAGTTACATTGGAAGGAGTAGATTACAAAAGATGATCGCATCAGACCACTACATTAGCAAAAGATGGTTTCTTGGAAGATGCAGTAAACATAGGAGCCCTTTATTTTTCAATATCTACCTCAATCATATGAGATACAGATATGGAAGTAACTGACACCTGTTAAGTTTCAAACAAATTAATCAGATTTAGGGTATGTACTTCCATAAATTTTATAATCTAAAAAAAGTATTTGGTTTTTTAGTGTTGAAATTAGTTGAGGGGGCTTACAAATCCACTCAAAAGGGCTCTGAAATCAACATTTTCATATGTTTCTTCTTGGGGCGTGTCTTGATACTGCATCATTAATTATAAAATGCTTTTATTTCCATAAATAATGGTAGAAACTATGATTGAAATCCATTTTTCCATATATGATAACTGATATTTAAAAACCATACCTCTATCCTGAAGTATTTGACTGTTTTATTGCGGTCAGCCTTCCCTGATACGCCAACTGATTCAACAACCTCCAACCTCTTCTTCTGTGAGTTTAATCTTCTTGCTGCACCGTTCAACATATGACCACAACAAACCAATCAAAATAAAAAAAATCCAAACTTTTATAAAAATTTAACATCTTTTATATAAATAATAAATTACATACTGTTGCAGATGCATCTCGACCAAGTTGTGCAAGTTGCAAACTCATGCGTGGTTGATTTGACATAAACCTTGCAGTTGAAGGGTTCCTATTGGCTACAATCGCTTGCCATACCGGTTTTGACCTCCATAAACTCTGCTCTGTCAACTTAAAACCCTGAAAATATGAAAAGTAACGGTTTTAGTCCCTCAAAGATAAAACTATAATTGTATATAACTAAAAAATATATATAACAAACTTTGTTTTCTAAAAGGGAAGAAGGAACGGTGATATGTAAGGAAGAGCTTTTGGGGAAAGTCTCATTTTCTACATCTTTTATGGCTGCATTTATAACAGGTAAACAAAGAGATGCAGCATCCTTGAATTCATTTTCTTGACTTTCACCTTTTTTCCTGGAACATCCGAACATTTGATTTGATCTATTAAATATGTGTAAAACTAATAATCTTAAAGGAGAATTGGTTACTTACCACTTTAGGGAGATTGGTAAAGATGGTATCCCAGTAATTAAGGCTTGCCTAACTCCAGCTATAGCACTCAAGGAAAACCTGTTTTGATTACTAAAAAAATGTTTTTTTTTAATTTGGGATAAAATTTGAGAATATTTTAGCCAACAGTTGGTTACATCCATTTCAGACAATTTGAGGCTACATACCCAACTTGCAAATCTCATAGCATAGACATTTGTAAAATTTACATACCTCGTGCGGCCATAAACATTTTCCGTGCATGATACAGCAAACCAAGCACCTCACAAATCAGTAATAGCAGCAATAATATAAACCAATGTTAAACAAACAAACTACATATAAGCAAACATAAGAAAATAAGTGAAGCAACTTGTGTTATGTTGACCCAATTTAACAATTCATAAAATAAAATGGTAGCTACTAGCGGTGGGAATCGGTTCGGTTTTCCGCTTTCCTCGGTTTGAAATTTTTTTAGTCTAATTCAAAAACCGAATTCTAATTCTCTAGACCAAACCGAATTCTAATTCGGTTTGGTTCAGTTTGAAAACTGAGGAAACCAGATATTAACTTAAAAAAAATTCAAACATAAACTGAAATGTTTTTAACATAGAAAACTAATGTTGCAAACAGAAAGATCTAAAGTTTTATACAAAATGATCTAAAGAGTAAATAGGTTAAAATGATTTTTACTTTATAATGTATACTTTTATTTAATATAAAATATAAAATAATTTTTTTTAATTAATTGACTTATGAAATTAGGTTTTTCGGTTCGGTTTGATTTAAGCTTCATGAGACTAAAAATTGAACAAAAAACCAATTTTACAATTCGGTTTGGTCTCAAACCAAACCAAAAATCGAATTTGAATATGGTTCGGTCTGAAATCGATTTCGATTCGATTTGGTTTTCGGGTTTTTTGGTTCCGGACCAAATAATTTCCGCTCCTAGTAGCTACTACTATGTACATAACAGATTACATGATATATCAACCAAATGAGTGTTTCTATATTTGGTTAACAACTCAATCCCAAACCACACAACAATATCCACAACAATATCTGATTGTATTAAATGTGAATGTAGAGTCGAATGCAAATATGCTTAGTATAACATCCTAATTTATTTTGAAAAATGTACCCAATTATATGAATGTTATAGAATAGAATACAAAAAAAAATATACTATAATACGTTGGAGACCTTCTTAATAACGTTCTTCATATAGAGGTCAAGTTCTTCTCTCTCTGGTGTGTACATAACACATCAGAAAGCCAGACATTAATGTCTCTTCGCGAAAGGGTAAAATAGTCAAATGTCACTCAAAAGGTTATAGAACCCTCACCCCATGCTAGATATGAGATTATCAAATAATTACATTAATGTCGCTTTGAAAAAGGGGTAAAATAGTTAAATGTCACTTTCGCGTTTGATACTTTCGGTTTCTTTTTTGGAAAAAAAATTCAAAAAAAATTATAAAAAAAACTGTAATTTGAAAGTACAGTGCTATTTACCACATTTATAACAAAAAAATGGATAATTGAACAAAATGGCAATGTATGTTGGTTTTTGGATAAAGAAATTAAAATAAATTGAAAAAAAAAACAGAAAAAATAGGTATAAATGTAAAGTACATTCATATTTAGGACATTTTACTCATAAAAATGGAAATTACACCTAATGAAAATGTAGTTAGTTTTTTGGGAAAAAAAATCAAAAGAAATTACATAAAACATAAAAAAAAAATGTGTAAATTTTAAGTACATTACTATTTCCTGCATTTGCCATCTAAATATGAAAGTGCACTAAATGGCAATGTACTTTAGATTTTGGTAAAAAAACAAAACAAAACTGCAAAGTACATTGCTATTTAGTGCATTGCCCTTATCATTGCTTCTTTGATGGATCCAATATTGGCTTGTTTTAATAGAGAAGCTAATAAAAAGATTCAAAAACCCTATAATAAGTTAGTAAAGAGATAAATAAATCATAAAACAAAAGTTAAGTTGTTAAAACATTCATCTTCCTTTTTTTTACTCATTGCATCTTTTAATACACCAAAACTTATAACAAACGAAAAATGAAACAATTAAAGGAAAACCTCATTACAAAATGAAACCTCATGCAGCACCTATTCGTTGACCAACTGATGGATTGATTTCTAAATTAGCCCCTACAATCTCATGAGGTCCCCCTACACATAAAAAATTAAAATAATTGGATTCCTTTTGGACCAAACGGGTACAAATTCTGGTAAATTTGATCAAAATGAAAGAATTAGTGTTGGTAATCACAAATAAACAAAAAATATTGACTAAATTCTGGTAAATTTGATAAAAAATACATATATTAAACGTGGAAGATTAGCCTCCCTTAAACAAAAAGAAGAGCATAATGTAAAGAAACCAAATGATTGTAAATCCAATTGAGAAATTGGAGAAAGCCTAACTTCTTAAAGTAAGTCAACTTTATTTATGAGTTGGTAATCACAAATAAACAATAAATATTGATTCACAACAAACCTGTTTAAAAGAGAAATTGACAAAAAAAAAAAAACAGCCTAAACAAAGTTTAAACAAATGGCTTTGAAGAGGTGCAAAATAAAGCGAAAAACAATAACATGTTCGTAAGAAGTTGTTTCAACACTTGATTACTGTTAAAGAGTTTAAATGTCAATATCAACTGATTTTAAATAAAAAAGCATAAGTTTGAGAAATCTTAACATCTTCATTTGGTTGGAAAAAAATCTTACACTAAACAAATAAATCAATATATTATTATTTCATATAACTCGCCAGAAAATATAATATTTAATGTAGATTACAATAATAATGTATTCTTTCTCCAAATTGACATTGTTGTTTTGAATTAGTTAAACGATAATAATCTACATAATTTTTTTCTCTTGATTTCCTAAAATATTTAAGATATTGCACTAAACATCCAAACTCCAAACATCATGCGTCAAATATCGGCAAAATAAAAAATAGAAGAAGAGTATAGTACCATTTACATTATAAATTCTAGATGCAGGCTGATTCAGATGCTTCAAGAACATCATTTTAATCTGTTTTCCAAAAACAAAGGTAACTAACAATTAGACACCAACGAAGCTATCTATTTAGGCAAATAAGTAAAGCAACAGAAATAACGGAACAATCTCTGCTAAAACAGAGCATAGTGAATGAAAGGAAACCATTGGCTCTCTTCCAAAAAAAAAAAAAGGAAACCATTGATTTAATGATAACATGATATTTCTTCGATTCAACACATCTCTTACCTTTAGAGCTTCACACAACATCTTCATTCGTTGAATTATTGCTGCTTCTTGGAGATGGATATGGTGCATTATGGTCAAGATGCCCTGTCAATTTCATTGTCAAATTCGAATATTTGAACTTTACTTATTCTTTTCATGCAAATTGTTAATATCCAGATCATTAAAGAGCACCAAGACTCAATTTTACAACCAAAAGCCATTGTTTCATAGATCAAACCTGAATATGAAGCTTCTTGATCAGGTACAAATTCAAGAACAGAAACGGGGCTTCAATTTTCAATACTTCTAAGACCCTTCCAGCAAAAAATGTGATAGAGGGTAAAGTAGTACATGAAATCGTCTAAATTGAAAGATGACTTATACATGAAAAGTGGTAATAGTGGTTGAAGAAAAAAACCTTGCATGTAACGACAGTGGGATGTTGTGAGGGAATGGATAAAATCCATTAAAGTAATCTTAATTTTGACCCTTCGACAACAAACTGACTTTGAAAATCGAGACAGTTTGATCTGAAACTGAAAATGCACAACTCAATCCCTTTAGTAATACACATACATGAGGAAAATACACAATTGCAATATTCACAAGATTTAAGAGACCTCATTTCGCAAACTTTTGGGTTTCAAACCATGTTTATTCCCTATCATTAAACTTTTCATGCAAATTGTTAATATCCAGATCATTAAAGAGCACCAAGACTCAATTTTACAACCAAAAGCCATTGTTTCATAGATCAAACCTGAATATGAAGCTTCTTGATCAGGTACAAATTCAAGAACAGAAACGGGGCTTCAATTTTCAATACTTCTAAGACCCTTCCAGCAAAAAATGTGATAGAGGGTAAAGTAGTACATGAAATCGTCTAAATTGAAAGATGACTTATACATGAAAAGTGGTAATAGTGGTTGAAGAAAAAAACCTTGCATGTAACGACGGTGGGATGTTGTGAGGGAATGGATAAAATCCATTAAAGTAATCTTAATTTTGACCCTTCGACAACAAACTGACTTTGAAAATCGAGACAGTTTGATCTGAAACTGAAAATGCACAACTCAATCCCTTTAGTAATACACATACATGAGGAAAATACACAATTGCAATATTCACAAGATTTAAGAGACCTCATTTCGCAAACTTTTGGGTTTCAAACCATGTTTATTCCCTATCTTTCTCCTGTGTTTGTATCTTCCATGGAGTTGATCTGTCTTGAAACACCACAAAATTTCACAGACAAACTATTAGTATTCAGTTTGGCTAAAGCTAAATCGATAATCAATCAGTTCAAGAAACCCATGAAAGAAATTTGATCAAAATGTATTTTTGTACAAATTCGAATTTAATCAGATTTCATAGAACATATCAGCAGCTTCACATGGAAGAATGAAGATGAAGTCACAAAAGGTCTGGTGCAGTTCTTTGGTCATCTGACAAAGGTAATACAAAATAATTAGTACGTATGCATCTACATCCATCTAATCAAAGCTTTTTTTTTGTTAAGAAGTATGAGGAATGAAAACCATTATGAAATTACACCGGCTCCCAAACCTATATATATATATATATATATATATATATATATATATATATATATATATATATATATATATATATATATATATATTGAAAAGTAATATATTTTGACCACTTCAAAATAATATATTTAGACTCTTTAAAAATATTTTGCCCCCATAAAAAAATCAAAACTTTTTGCCCCATCTTCGAAATTTCCTAGGGTTCTCCGGGACTAGGTTTATTATTGTATGATTAACGGTCCACATGTGTACCCTCTAGTCACTATTTATATGACTATATCTTATTTCTTAGTTTATAACCCGTGAGAAACACGGTTATAAAATTAATTAAATTTTCATATTAAAAAATTAAAATTATTAATCAGTTATTTTAAATAAATTATTAATTAAGAGATATTTTTTTAGTAATATAAAATTATAATTGTTGATTTAAATAAATAGTTGAAGTTATATCACCTTATAATCTGTATTAATTATATTTTATTTTTCAATCTAATGTTGTGAATTTAATATAATTAGAGTGAGAAGATTTAAAATTTGAAATTAAAAATGAAGAATCAATTATTAATTTAATATAATTAGAGTGGAAAATTTAAAATTTAAAATTTAAAATGGATAATCAATTATTAATTTAATGTAATTACAGTGGAAATTTAAAATTTGAAATTTGAAATGGATAATTAATAGGTTGACAAATGACATAATTGATGATATATATAACATCAATGAAGAGTTATCAATAGGAGATTAAACCTATTCTTTTATTAGAATAAGGATTTATATTTTATAAGTGATAATACGAGGGTAGGTGTGGTTGTATACGGAGATAATTGCCATAAGTTATATATAATAAACGTATAAAAACCGTTGGAGAGAGTGATTTTATTAGGATTGGATCACAATCGAGGCCCATTAAGTTTATGGTGGACTACAACTTATGAGTGAAGTTCTGATGATTTTTTGGGCTGGATTGAGTGGTGGGCTTTTACATGAACTACATTCTTCATTTTTGTCGGAGTCGAAGGGCAAGCCATTGGGATTTGAGAGTTGACACTTGATAGTTGATACATAGGAAATTAGGAATAGGAATTGAAAGGAAATTTTTGAAATGATGATTTCCCACCACAAGGTTTAGCCGCCAAAGCTGGATCTCAAAAACTTTGAATTGAAATTGCGAATCCGCTAAATTTTTACGAGCCATAAATACTTTCAACATAACTCCATATCTCCATTTTACCTTCTTCTCTTCGAGTTATCATTTGTTCTCCCGTCTTGCAATATCGTCAGGTAACAATCTTCTAAACAATAATCCTTAGTTTACGATTCGATTTGGCAACTAGATTAAAAGTTTTTATGTAAATTAGCCGCACTATCCACTCAGATCTGCGATTTAGGGTTCTATCCAGAATGTTTACAGTTTGCTTACTAGAAACCCTAATTACACATTAATCGTAACGCAGATACTTTGACTATTTCATCAAAGTAACGGAACTTTGATTTTCGTCAAGTTTTGTAAACATCTTTTTTGTTTATTTTTTTTTCTAAAGCGTTCGTGTAAGTGGGAGAGATGGCCGGAAAGGGTGGGAAGGGTCTGTTGGCCGGAAAAACACCGGCGGCTGCTGCAGCTAACAAGGACAAAGATAAGAAGAGGCCGATTTCCCGATCTGCCAGAGCTGGCCTCCAGGTTCGACATAAACCCTAACTATTTTCCTGAATTACTGTTGTATCTTTTGGTGTTGTAGTATTGATGTGGGGATGAATTCAGTTTCCAGTAGGGAGGATTCATCGTCATTTGAAAACAAGAACTTCAGCAAATGGACGTGTTGGAGCCACTGCTGCTGTTTACTCTGCTGCCATTCTTGAGTACTTAACTGCGGAGGTGCTTGAGTTAGCTGGAAACGCTAGCAAAGATTTGAAGGTGAAGCGGATTACACCACGACATTTGCAGTTAGCCATTCGTGGTGATGAAGAGCTTGATACTCTTATCAAAGGTACCATTGCTGGAGGTGGTGTCATTCCTCACATTCACAAGTCTCTCATCAACAAAACCACAAAGGAATGAGTCTCTTACTCTCTCTTTTTCTTTCTTTTTTGTTAGCCATTTAGACTATGTGTTTAATTTTTGACTGGAATTTCTGGCAAAAGATTGATGTGGTATTGGTGTTTGTTTATTGTTTTTGAAGTTTTAGTTTTGTAGGATCTATGTACATGGCATATAATCCTGGATTATGCTTTAGAAATTTGTAACTTCTGGTTGCATTTCTATCTCCTTGTTTCAGGGTTTTGTTTGGATGCTATATTTATCTTGTTGTCAAGAAATTCTAGTGTTAATAGTATCTTTGTCTTTAGATTCAACCAATGTCGTTCAGAGTGTATTTGGCTGTTGACTTTGAGTTCATTACGCATGAACAACTTAACAAAATGAAGTTGTTGTGTCATGTCTATTATGTGATATAACTTGAGCTAATAAAATGTAATAGGTAAATAATGGTTTATTTTTTCACAACTCAATTTTTTTCTGCAAAAAAATATTATATTGGTTTTTCATTTAAAAGATTGAAACGTATGAGTTTTTTTTAAGGGTTAATGACTTAGGAGGGTAATAAGGTTTTAATTTTGTTCACATTAGGTTCAAAGTTTTTTTTTACATATTACACCTTGTTATAACCGTTTAAAAAAGATAATAAAGTTTTAATTTTGTCCACAATAGGTCTCCAACGTTTTCTTTTATACATATTACACAAACATGGTTGTTATAACCATTTAAAGAAGGTAATAAGGTTTAACTGTGTCCATATTACGTCCCTATTTTTAATATGTTTATCATTTAATCTAACTTTTTTACAATTTATATTAGTATCTAGTTAGATGGCTTTATCATTTCATCTTTTTATTTTAGTCGCCCATTTATCACAACTACGGTTTCAATCAAAAGGTTACGTAAGCCGGTGGCGGAGCCAGGTCAACGTTTTCTTTTATACATATTACACCAATATGTTTTCTTAATTAATTAAGAGGTATATTTGGAACTTTAAAAAAACTAGTCTAAGTAGCTTTTTAAAATGCTAGTTTATAAGCTAGCAGTGGCGTCAAACATAGTCTTAATCAGCAAACATGACAACTTAAAAAATATCGAAAAATAAACTAGCTTATCAGATAGCAGTGGCGCCAAACATAGTCTTAATCATTAAGACTTTCATTATTAGTAGCTTTTTTTTTTTTCGTAAAAATGGAAAAAAAATGTTATGTAACCTTTCGATTGAAATCGTGGTTGTGGTGAATGGACGACTAAAATGAAAAGATGAAATGATTAAGTCATCTAACTAGATAGTAATATAAATTGTAAAAGAGTTAGATGAAATGATAAAAATATTAAAAATAGAGACCTAATGTGGACACAGTTAAACTTTATTACTTTTTTTAAACGGTTATAACAACCATGTTGGTGTAATAATTACAAAAAAAGACCTTAGGAACCTAATATGAACAAAATTAAAACTTTATTACCCTTTTTAAACGGTTTATAACAACCATATTGGTGTAATATGTACAAAAAAAAACCTTAAGGACCTTATGTGGAAAAAAGTTAAAAACTTATTACCCTCTTAGGTCATTAACCCTTTTTTTAAAGTTATCCTTTATTTCAATTCGAAATCTTCTGATAAATTTGTTTACGATATGGAATATTTTTTTACAATATTGTAGTCTAGTAAATTAGTAAGGATAAATCCATTGAAACGATGTATCTTCTCCATTGATAAAAAAATCCATTGATTAGGTAGTCATGCAGGTAAGGTTATTTGAAAATCCAACTTATTTCGTTAACTTAAAAATTTTAGAATTGTGATTTTTAATTGAGAAAAGTCAAATCATTTTTTTAATCTCATCGACAAAAGAAATAGTCTTTAAAAGAAGAAAAAAAGACAATATGGTGGGACTCAGAACTCGGAAGAATCTAATTTATTATATACTGCTTTTCTATATATATATTATATAGTAAATTGCAGAAAGTTCATCTGTTTATATGAACCTAAAGATTGGGTCCTTGAAAGGTTTTCATTGCTAATTTGATTCCTATGTTTTGAATTTTTTTGAATCAGTTCCTTATCATTATTTAACATTGTTAGTATTTCACCGTAAAATCCAAGAATACTATTGATTATAAAAATAAAAAGTTAAGGGTTAGCGATGATGAGTCTGTGTCTGCTTGAGGGTAGCCATTGGAAGTGGAAGAAATAGTTAATTAAAATTTTTAAACAATTAACAGTAAAATAGTAGTTTTACTTTTACACCTATTTAAATTGGAAATAAATGACATCAATGATAAGGACTTGTTTCAAAACACTTTCAAACCATATGGGTGAAATTAAAATAAAAATCGATCCGAGAGCCAAACCACAATTTTCCTTTAAGCACAGGGACCATTTTTGTAATTTACTCTATATTATATTAATATGTCATGTTTAACCATAAAATATGTGAAGCTGGCTGCTAAGTGTTAAGTGTTAACTTCTACTTCTACTTCAATTCGCTCTCTTACATCTCTCCAGCGGTATGGGAACAACCATTCCGTCAGCTCAGCCAACGATAGTTCCATTTCCGGCAATGTCTTGCCGGAAACCACCACGTACTCCTTCCATTTTGTCTGTCCTAACACGGCCCACGTTTGTGACTATCAACGAAGATGACCTGAATCACACTCTAAAGATTGATACAAGAAAAAATACCACTGCCACCACATCAAAGACTCTTGTTTCTCACGACAACTTGTTTGAAACTATTGCCATTGATTACATCTCCAAAGCCTTCCAAGAAACCAGTGGTTCGTTTCATTTTTTAGTTACCCATTAAATTATCATGCACACACATACATAATTTTTTTGATTAAAAAGAAGATAATTGCAGGTTTGAGAAACGAAAAGTCTGGGTACGACGGGTTTGTGGCAGTTTCATCAGCGGTATTTCGGGAGTTTGATCCTACACAACAACGTCAAATTGTTGAAAAGACTCTCCAGAAAGCTATTCCTGGTTTTATGCTTATTATGGCAAGTTAAATTCTTTGTTTTTATTGAGTTCTTTTCTTTGTGTTGTTGTTTTATTCTTTTTTTAAGTGAAATTCAATTGTTTTGGATAAGCAGATTAGAAATCTGATGCCAGAATCGAAGTTTACAAGGGAGTTTTTTGCCATTTTCACCACCGTCTTCTTTAGTTGGTTAGTTGGGCCTAGCGAGGTAAGGTTTGCGGTTTTAAATAACCTCCGTAAACACATATATTTTATATTTGTAACTTTTAGTAATTAATCTAAATAATTATTTAACAAAAAAATATATTAGTGCATTCCTCTTGTATCGAATTCCCTACATGTCTATATATAGACAAATATATTGACTAATATCTTATCATATTCTTATAATATGCATAAATGTATGATTTTATGTAGTTTTGATTTTTAACATGAAATTAAGTGCATCAATTTTTCCTTCATAGTTTATAGTATTATGCGTGTATAGTGTATACAACTAGTTAAAAATTTAATATGACCGGAAAGAATATAGTAATGTTGTCATTAATTATTAATTAATCAAATTCCATTGTTTGGAAGGTAAGAGAGTCGGAGTTTGAAGGGAAAAAAGAGAGAAACGTTGTCCACATACAGAAATGCAGGTATTTTCTTGCCTGGTTGCTAAAATTACAGAAATAATTAAAATTTTGTGCCAAATTCTTTAATCATGTAAAATATTTAATGTGATGGTGAGACTCTAACGATACTAATTAAGGTAAATTATAGGTTTTTGGAGCAGGCTAATTGCATAGGCATGTGTACAAACCTCTGCAAGATTCCGACACAAGAGTTTATTAAGAAAAATTTCGGAACTCCAGTCAACATGGTCCCTAGTAAGTAACAAATATGTGAATTCCTAAATAGGAAAAGTGCACCTAGCTAGATTTACACTTGATTAATAAGTGCACTCAAATCAATTCAAGAAACTCAAAGAGAATCAGGAATCTTATAATTTATAGGGAGTAACAGTACCTGCACTAATATATAGAGGCTTGAAAACATGTATGGTGGGCCCATGTGTACTCCACTTGGGGTGCACCACTGCAAGTAGAGCGTAAAAGTGTTAGTTCCAATTTTTTTATAATCAATTTCAAGAGTGAATTCAGTCTCTTTTATGTTTCAAATCCGAGTGCCATTACATTTTTGAGCAGACATTAAGTTATTGCATCATCCCCATATATATATATATATATATATATATATATATATATATATATATATATATATATATAAAAGCTGTGATCATTATATATGCATATTACAATTTGCAGATTTTGATGATATGAGTTGTGAGATTATATTCGGTCAAGATCCTCCAGCACAAGAAGATGATCCGGCATTTAAGCAACCATGCTACAAACTGTGTATATACTCTTCATATTTAAGAACTCGATCGCATAAATAGCAGACACAAAAAAAAAATACATATAGATCAAGATTATCGTTTACATATTTTGATATATGTTGTTGTATGCAGGTAATGTAAAAAAAAGGCATAGTGCAAGCTGCATTAAGTAGACCTTCAAGGAGACACATGCAATATAGGGATTCTAAGAAGAAAAGGTTGGGGAGAAGATGCTGCTGTGACTGTGCTGACCCTTCTCACTCATTAATACGCTATAAGTACGTCATAAGTCACTTGAAAAGATCAAGGCATGTCATAATGTGTTTTTGTGATTGGGAAAGATGCCATTGAGTAATGCAGGAAAACCATATGTGTATCATTAGCGGACACCATTAATTATTGTAAATATGTAGTAATTAAACAGTGTTACTTTTTAAGATGCGTTTAATTCTGGTACATACAATCCGTGTTTTGATTTATTTATTTATTTATTTTTGTTAAAAATAGGGGTTTGTAATAGGGTATGTTAATATCAAACTTCGATATATGCTTGGATCGTATATTCACTGTCCTTAAACTATATTTTGACCATGATTGCCCGGTTGCACGAAATTGGTTAGAGGATAATCCAAAGAGAAGGACACTTCGAGTTTTCGGCACAAAATTAAAAGTCCATATCTAGATTCGTTTTTAAGGTGTGTAGGTCTTCAAACTGCTCGAAAAACAAATATTACATCTATATACGTATGCCGTATTATAAATATGATTTCATTGCCTTCAAAATGGGAATTACACGGTTTATATACATACATAATATGGTCTGAG